ATGATGATGATGATGATGATGATGATGATGATGATGATGATGATGATGATGATAATAATTATTATTATATAATAATGATGATATTACATGTAATAAGTTCTTTTAAAAAAGAGGGGGGGGTCCCTCAATCTGTTATTCATCCATTCATCCATTCACCCATTCCTTCACTCACACATTCATTCCTTCACTCATGCAATCAGGGCGCGGGTTTGACCAGGAGACCTTCTCGGAGAAGGACGAGAGCGCCGTATGCCACTACAACAGCGACGGTGTGGAGCCGGAGAGAGCATTTGGCGGCCTGAAGACTCTCTGGGACCTGGACCATCCCAGTATGCCTCACCCTAGGAGTAACGCGGCGATTGTCATACTGGGTGAGAGGAGCGAAAACATTGTTGGTCTGAAAGAGCTAAGCCTAGATTTACCACTTTTTTTGGATAAGCTCACTTTGGAGACCTCTAAACTGATTACAAATGGTCCTATCAATATAAAAACTAGCTATCTGTAAAATGTAATGTCTTCTCTCCCTTTTACCTTTTAAAAGATTCGTCTGGGTAGCATAGTTTTTAAATGTTTAAGAAAATAAGATTGTCAACAAAATTCAAGATGGCCGCCATTTCCATGGTAGCCGATGAATTTATTAATCTTTTAAAGGTGTAGATTTTCATTCTTCCACATAAGTATCAAATATACCAGTACTAGCTTCACATGTTCTCTGTTTAAGAAGCTGGGTTTCAAGGTAGCGATACCCCTTAATAGACGATGATGGTGATGGTGATGGTAATGACAAGATCTTTAGATTGTAGGTTATGATCGTCGTTGGGTGGGAGTGGGGAGTTTGTTATATGCTGTACTTAGCTTTTACCATAACTTTTGCTCCACATTGATCATAAGTGTTAAAATGAAAAGCAGACTTGCGCAGGGCGCAGAAAAAAAAAGATGAGAACGAATTCATTATTTTTAAAAATAATTCAGTTTCTTGTTTTACCCACAAGGCCGTAACGTATGGGCTATCGGGGGCCTGAGCTACAACAAGGGCACCAGTGTCAAACTCGTGAGCTACTACGACATGAAGAGGAGGCGGTGGCGAGAGGCGTTTCCTTTGCCCGAGGGACATTTCTCCAACTTGGACGGCGTGCTCCTGCAGATCCCTGTCTCCAACAAGGACTTCTGCTTCGTAGACAGATTCATCTATGATCGGTGGATCATGTGGTGACCGAGTTGCTTTGGAAATAGATAGACCGACGTGACGGAGTTAATTTTGAAATGTGTATGATGAGCTGACCGAGTTACGTTAGAAAATGTATGCGGTGACCTAGTTACTTTAGAAATAGACCAATGTGACGGACTTTACCTTTGAAATAATATGTTATGTGAGGTGACTGAGTTACCTTTGAAATACATGGATTACGAGGTGATCAAGTTATTTACTTACTTGGTTGGAGAATAGGCATCATTGCAGCACAATGTATTAGCTGCTCCTCCCTCCTCTCCAGGATCCATGAAAGAGTCTGCCTGCTGATCGTGCCAGTTAACAGCTGGTTGGATATTCTTCTGGCTTTTCCACACAGGTTACTGTCTGTCCCCGACCCTCTAGTCTAGAGACGCTAGCTTCCCTTAGTCTATCCATTGTGTGTGAAGGGGTGCCTTCATCCTCTCTGTGGTCGTTGAACCACGCTGTCAATGCTGCCATGACTGTTGGTGGATCTAATTGCATGGTACGGCCAATCTCAGCCTGGCCGGCTAGATTATCAGCACGTTCATTGTCTTGAACTCCTGCATGACCAGGGCTAAAGATCCATACAATATTACAATCCTTTAAGTTATTATGAAGTAGATAATCGTGACGGAGTTGTTTTTGAAATAAAGTGTTATGTGATGACTGGGTGAAAGGTATTTCTTTTTATATAGTAGATCAGCATATTAAGTGACGATCGACGTATTATGTGATGAAATACGTTTCAGATGTGACAAATTTACTTTTGATATACATGTTTGTGTTATATTTTATGTTTTATGCCAGGCCAG